TCAGCAGGAGGTCCTGAAGGAGGTAGTGAAGGGGCTGGAGGCTGGCACACTCCAGGTAGACATGCGTTTGGGACTTCCTCTGCTCATAGAAGAAGCAAGTGTCGGGGTGTCCTTGAAATATGCCATGTGTAACATGGGCTTTTTCATTTGCCATTCCAGAACCTAGGCCAAATCCTATCAAAGTAGAGCTATAAGCCCCCGCTGGTAAAGGGAGCCACTAAGGGCCCATCACTGATCACTTACGGTAAATAAAAGACAAAGTAGGAATGGGAGTGAAGGTCAGAAGTTTAAAACAAGTGCTCCAAGGGGGGGACATCAAAAATATCACATAGGACAGTGCCCCCTGGCTCTTAAACATGTCAAAGGAGCCAGTGGACACTGCCTGGTGAATGGACAAGGGACAGAAAAACAGCCCTGCAGTCCCTGAGAGTCCCCCAAGCCAGAGCTTTCTTTCTGCTCGGATAGATTGTTAACTTGGCTAGGGTCAAGAGGGTGTTGACCAGGAGGTCTACGGACTTGGTGGGGCTGTGGATGGGAAGTGCATAAATGAAAAGTTGGAGGAAGTGGTGCAGCCAGAACCTCAGCAGAAAGTTCTAGCAAAGGCAGTGAAAGGGCTGCAGGTTAGTGAGAATGGAGAGGGAAAATTCAGTTTCATGTCTCAGAGAAGTTTTCTGATCTGCTTCCCTTGAAACTCTGAGCGGGAAAAAAGGAAACGTATTGACATTGCGCACTTGAGTATCTTCAATTCAGTTTGAAATGCAGGTAGGAAAGCATTTTCTTCCAATGGACAGTTTCCTAATCTGGATTCCTTTGCATAGTGACATTGCAAAAAAAAAAGTATTAGTGACTGTTGGTTTGGTATTATGCAAATATGTCTATCAAACCTGCTTTAAGAAACATTTGCATAATAAATACAAAGTCTTAGTTACAACTGTAAGATGTATTCAGGTTCAGTAGCACTAAAAGGAGCTTTTAAATCTGGGTTGTTAAATCATTTGACATATATCAATATGCACTAAAAAAAACTAAACATTTTGACTTGCATTGGAATTTGCCATTAGTGCTATTTTATATAACTATATAGAAGGTGTGGTGTTGGTATCATGCTTGGTCCATAGTCCTGAGCTCTGGTATTTGTAGCTCAGGTCACCTGCAAAGAGTATCTTCAACATGACATAAAACCATTTTTTTTTAAACTCCCTGTCTCTGATAACAGGACAGCCAGATAATAGAACTGTTATTGTCATTTCTTTAACTGATTGGTATGTCAGCAGTTTTTAATTTCTACAGCTATGCATACTTTTTAACCATGGGGTTTCTTACAAAGTGGAGAAGTTGGTGGTAAAACTAGTTTTAATTTTTAAATCCTTTATGAGGCTTTTGTTTTCAGGTCTTTCCCATAGGACTCACTGAATATACAAGAAGTGGGAAAGTATTTTTAGAAGTGTGAGAGTAAAATGTGATTCAGTCTCAAGTTTAGTTATTAAAGTCTCTGCAACTGTCTAAGACTGGACAAACCTCTGAGCTCTTATAATTCTTCCAGCTTTGCTTGGAATCTGAGAGATGTTTATGTCTTGCACCAGAACATAGGGTGGGGGGTCATACATTTATTTGTGCTTTTGAGAAACACGTGATAAAAGTGGTTATGGTACAGATAATTTTGTTTTGTTGCATGTGTCATTAACAGAAGAACGATTTTGTTATAAAGCACAAGATGCAGGAAGGAAGGAATAGTTTAAAGAAAATTCAGAAGATGCGATGGATTGCATTTGACTATATGGACTACACTTTGAATTTACTTACAATACAGACTATAGGTCTGTACATGGCAGACATGAGGTGCTATTCATTCAGAATCTGGCAAGAGGTTGTTTAGCATAGTTTTTTTTCCCCCTGAAACTAGGGTTCTGGAAAAGCCTCACTTTGTTCTGCTGAAGTTGATGGGCTAATGTGTTTGTTTTCCTCTCCCTCTCCCCGCCCCTTGATCTTTCAAAATGCTGCTGAAACCTCTACTGTTTCAGTGTGCAACTAAATTGCTGTTTTATTCTTGAAACATGGAATTTAGCCTTCAGTGCCCAATTTGGATGGGGACATAGGAATTGGAATACCAGTGTTATTCAGAGAATAAGTGTGTGGCTATTGTTGGATTATCCAGGGTGGACTTGAATCATGTTTATAAATTACTAATTTAAATTGGCAAGCTAAAAACACTTCATTTTATTTTAAATCATCAATTCTAACCTTTGTTGCCATTTGTGCTGTTGTTATTCCCCATTCCTAGTTGAGTCTCATTTAATTGCTAGCCATTAAAACATACTGCTTTGCAACTAGATCAGTGTTTCCTAAATTGTTGGTTGCGACCCCAAATGGGGTCGCAACACCAGCAGTTTGGGTCGAGATAAACAGGGATCCTGCAGCTCTCTGCAAGTAAGTCTATGGAAACAGGGGGGAGGGGAAGGGGTGGCGCACAGGCAGCATGACCCGGGGTGAGGGCAGGGTGACACGTCCTGCACCCTCAGCAGGCCATGGGTCTTCAATGGGCTGGACTAGCTCCAGGGCTGGAGCTGCCTCTGTGGGCAGGATCCAGCATGGGAAGCAGTGCTGTACCATCATGGCCACCAAGGTGAGGCACAGCAGTTGTGCCCCCACTGCTGCCAGGTAGGCAGGGGGCTCCTCAGCTTGGCAGCCATGGCATCACGGCACTCCCACTCGTACCAGGTCCTGCCTGCTGTGCCTCGGAGCCCCACAGGGGAGGACAGCAGAACGGAGAGCCTCAAACCTGCATCCGGCAGCCTGCATCCTCTGTCCGTCCTCCCTCCCTATGGGCTCCATTCCAGCTGTGCTGCCTGCAGGGGAGGGGAGGGACCCGGGCTCCTCCCTCCGCTCTTGCCACAGCAGTCACCACAGTCGGGCCTTGGGTGCTGAGGTGGGAGGGTGGGGGATGGCAGGGGGCGCTGGGCCCTGGCACTGAGGCACCTGAGGTGTGTGGGGGGGACATGGGTCGGGAGTGGGGGGGGCCAGAGGGCTGTGGGTGGGGAGTGTGTGGCACCTGGTGGGGTGGGGGGCTGGAGATTTGGAGTGATGGGTCATGCTGAGGAAAAGTCGCATCTGTGTGACTTATCGTAGACTTATTCAGAGTGTTAATTTTTCCTTTTTTTATTTTGTTGCAAAACAGTGAATAATATTCATATTTATTAGATCACTTTTTTAATCTCTTATTTGTGCTGAGCTGCATTTGGTTGGAAATTTGAATTTTAAAAGCCTGTAGAACTAGCATTTTAAATTTTTTAGGTAAATAAGCTGTTAGTTGTGCTGGATATGTAATGAAAAAAACATGTTTTGGTAGGCTTAAAATGAATTTGTTCAAACAGGCAGTGTTAACTGTAGTTAATGAATTAAACTGATTGTTTGTGGTCAACATCCCGGTGTTTTTTGGGGTTTGGGTTGGCTTTTTTTTTTTTTTTTTAACCCTGTTAGATCTCACCTGTGTGTTTCACTTTTACTCATACATTGGAAGAGGACAGCAAGCTTATCTGACTATTTTCTAAATTCCTAATTGATTTTTTCAGTTTTGAATGAACTTGTTTTATTAAACAGAGCTAAATAAAAATAAGAAAATCACTTTGAGAAGAAGAGGCCATAGTTGTCAAAAGCTGGTTTATTCCTTCAGCAAACCAGATTCAGGCCTTAGCCAGTGATTTCTGTGATTTTCATAGTTTGCTACCCAAATTTTGTAACCTGATCAAACATACAGAATTTGATTTTATTTTTTGTGGAGGTGCACCGATGCATCGGTCCGGTATCAGATCAGTACCAATATAAAGAAAATTTGCTGTATCCAATATCAGCCCGATGGGGCCGATAATTTGGCCAATAAATGCTCGTGCTGTGCACAGCCACAGTGCAGCACTCGGGCAGCAAGGAGCACAGCTGACATCTTGGAGGGCTGACTCAGGCAGCGAGGAGCACAGCTGGCAGCTCATGGGGGGGAGCTGCTGCTTGCATCCCGCTGCTTGCACCCCAGGAGGGCATGGGGGATGAGGGGGTGTGTGCCCCCCAGATGTGCATGGGGTGGGGCGGGCTGCAGCTGGGGCTGCATGGGGCTCTTCTTGGCAGGGGCTGGACTCAAAGCAGGTGCCGATGGCACTGAGAGGCTGCTGCATCCACCCCAAATTCCACCACAGCTCAGTTCCCAGCGCTGCTGCTGCCCAGCACTGCCCCATCTCTTAGCGGTGCTGGGAATGGAGCTGTGGGGAAATTTGGGGTGGATGCAGCCTCCTCCTACCACTATGGGGGCCCACTCTGAGCCCAGCCCCCGCTGAGCAGAGCCCTGCATGGCTCTAGCTGCAGCCTGCATAACCCCATGCAGATCCGGGGGACACATGCCCCCCATGCCCTCCCAGTGTGCAAGCAGGAGCCACCTTCCCCTGCCCCGCCCCTCCTGAATTGCGGCCTCCCACCCCGCATTGGCAGAGCCTGCCACTGCCCCCTTCCTCATCGCTGGGGGCATTGATCTGCTCCCCCATGCCCCTTCCCTCCCCCTTTCACCACACCAGACTTACCAGCTGGAGCTGGCTGTATTGGAAATCAGATTGGTGTCGGCCAATATGCCTTCTTAAATATTGGCTATCAGCCAAAAATCTCTATTGGTGCACCCCTAATTTTTTGTTGTTATTATCATTCAAATGATTTTTAGAGTAAGTTAGATCTTAGGGTAGCACGTTATAGTTTCATGTTTGACTTTGGGTGGGGTGTGGTTTACGTATGTATATTTTAAAAACAAATTTAAGTGTAAATGATATTTATTTTGCATAAAGCTATAGCTTGGCATGTCCCTGCATTGAGCGTGGTGCATGCTCTGAAAAGATATCATGTTAGTTTGACCCAGTTTACATAACGTCTGTATAGATTGCACTTCAGTGGGGCTTTTTGGCAGTTTTATCTAATAGCTCATTGTCCAGAGCGGGGGTGGCCCCTGCCACTGCATGCGTCCCCAGGGGAGGCATGCGCCCCCCCGGATTTGTGCGCAGGGTGGAGGCAGGCTGCCCGCTGTAGGCTTGGGACCAGGGCAGCACCAGCCTCTCCCCAGTGTTGGGGCTGGGCTCAGAGCCAACAAGTGGGTTGGGCTCAGCTGTGCAGGGCGAATGCCAGTGGCACTGGGAGGGGCGGCTCCAGGGAGATAAGGTGAATTTTGGCATAGCGATAGTGCCCAAACGGGGCCCTTGCACCGCCCCTGCTCAGGGCACTCAGCTCTGCTGCTTTTCCCTCAGGAGCCCTGCCCTAGCCACATATTCCCTGCCTGCTCCGCAGTGGGGGGCTCTTGGAAACTGATCAGTACATAAATATTTTGGTCTCTGCACCTGACTATGGTTAAACCATTCATACTTTGTGCACTTGGTGGCTTGCTTCAGGCACAAGGTGGAATATCTGGTTGCAAGATTCAGCTGTAAGATGCATCTTATCTTCTATACCTCCTGGGGCAGATATCCGTGAGTGACAGTGAGGAGCTGGGCAAAGCATGCTACATGCTACCAAAAGGAAACCTTTTGAATTATCTTCCCTGGAACTAGCACAATGAATGTCACAGCTCTTGATTCTTTTACAGTAAGGAATCTAGTGGTCTGGTCACTTTTTAGTAACAGCAGCAAGACCACCTGCCTTTGAACTCCTCCTCAGACTCATAAAAAAAGCAGGGCTGTTTTGTTAGCAACTTACTATTTCCCTGGTTGTTAGCCTAAGGCCCAGAATCTGTCTTTTTTTGTCAACAGCTATGCCACAGAAGTCAGATGAACTTTGACCATATAATGCCCGTATTCAATCTGTGGTTCTCTTATTCTTTCACTAACTTTTGTTGATGCTTCACACTGAAGTTATAGGAAAAAAATTGGAAACCTATTGTTTCATTGGACTGTCAATGTCTTGGTATGCTTATTAACACTGTACACATTCCAACTGGCTATAAACAGTCATTGTTTTAGGGAACGACTTCAGCTGGATTGTCAGTAGTATTTGTGACTTCGTGTGTTTTTTCTTTTTTTCTCCCCAGATGGTGAACTGAATGTTCTGGATGACATTTTAACTGATGCTCCTGACCAAGATGATGAGCTCTATAACCCTGATAGTGAACAAGATAAAAATGAAAAAAAGGGTAGGTGGTTATTCCTCGGAGATGCCATTGTAAAAAAGTAATTTACCAAATTTTACTGTACACAGATTATTATAGTCGGCAAACAACAATAGAGTCTGTTGAAGATTTTGTGCTTCAACAATATAATCTAACCTCAAAATTACATTGAGTTCTGTGTATCAAGAATACATGTTCAGTGTTGGCATTCTTCAAATAAACCTCATTAGAAAGTCATTTATGTAAATAAACTTATTTTCCCCTAGTAAACCAAGGCAAGCCTCAGAGCAAGGTAGTTCTGAATTCCAGTTGTTCAGTGGCTTGTGTGGCCTCGGGCTGGGCCCTAATCTTTGCATTTCAAATTCCCCTATTTTACAACACTTATCAACACAAACCTGCCTGAGAAACTGGTGGATATTGTAACAGACTGTTGATTGGGTGGGGAAAAAAATTTAAAAAAATGACAGTCACTAAGCTTACTTCAAGGAAGAGTAATACCACTTGCTGGGGTAGGGGGAGGGGAGTTTTTTACTTCGTTTTTACCTGTTATGTAAAATAACTGATTTTTTTTTTGATTAATTTAAGGATCAAAAAGAAAAAATGACAGGATGGAGACTGCTGAAAGCAAAAGACAAAAGCCATCGGTGCATTCATCAAGGCAAATGATTCTAAAGCCACCTAGTTCATCAGTTAGCAATAATAAGAGGATAGTGAGTACAAAAGGAAAGCCTGTAGCAGAGTACAAGACAGAGGAATATCAGAGGTCTGACAGAAGCAAGCGTCCAGATGGTGATCGAAAGGCACGCATGTCAAGTGGCAGTACAAGGGAGCTTTATAAAGGGCAACCTGAAAAAACTTGCATGAGGAAGAGAGATGTTGACAGGAGGGCAAAGTCCTCTACGCCAGATGGTTCAGAGGTAGTAAAAGTTTTTGCGGCCTTAGAAATAAAGCAGTTCTTTGAGACATTTATAAGGCACGTTCTCTTGGGACTATGTGTGTATCCTAATAATGTTTTATGACTCCTGATTCTCTTTTTCTTTAAACATCAGAGAATTAGGCATGATGTGGACAGAAGGCAAAGCAGATCCAGCCATTCTTCTAAAGAAGAGGTGAACTCTGAGGAATATGGTTCAGATCATGAGACTGGCAGCAGCGGCTCCTCTGATCAAGGAAACACAGAGAATGAGGAAGAAGGAATGGAGGAAGAGGAAGATGAGGAAGGAGAGGAGGATGAGGAGGTGGAAGAAGATGGGGAAGAGGACGAAGAGGAATATGAACAAGATGAAAGAGATCAGAAGGAGGGAAATGATTATGACACTCGAAGTGAAGCCAGTGATTCTGATTCTGAATCTGCATCCTTCACAGATGGGTCAGTCAGATCTGGTTCTGGCTCAGATGCATCAGGTAAATCCTTTCTTAGAATAGTTGTAGATAAGACTTTCCCTGTTTTAAAATCTGTTACTATTTCAGATTTAACATTTGTTTTTGACTCAGGCTTTTCCTTTGGTTTTTGGCTGGTGTTTCTAAAGGGAACCTAAGCTTTGAGCCTGAGGCAGGACAGTGGAACACTTCTGACTTGCACTAAGACTTGTCTGGAAGTCTCTTACCACTACAGGATCAAATTATTGTAGATCAACTTTGTTATTGTTTTTCTATTTTTAACACCCAAAACTGTTGTAATCAACAACTTTTGGTGCTTCTCCTTGCAAAGCTTCACTTGAATGTAAACAGTTGATGGGAAAGATATTCAGTATAAATCTAGATGTATGGCTAGGTAGTCAGGTTAATACACTAGCTTTTGCCTTTGGAGAAATGGTTACTGCAGTACATCTTTGGTTGTTGAATCCCTTTGGAAAGCACTTTCTGAAGTTTTTTGGATGGCTGAACTGGTTCAGATAAGTGAAATTGCAGCATGTTGTAGGGAGTTATGCATGCTAACGCACAAATACATAATGAAAAACCATACAGACTTGATAGTGCAGGTGTTAAATACAGTAGATGTTAAAAAGAGTTTGTTACAAAACCAATACTAACAAATTGGTAAAACAAAGTTGCTGTTCAAATAATGGAAGATGTGCTGTCCAGTATGGCCAGTTCATATATAATTGTCTCATTTTAGAGATCTGCCACACAATTTGGAAAGACCAGGAATCAAGAGGAGCCTGTAACTAGGCAAATGGGGAGAATGGGACTGAAACGAGTCCCATAACAGCTCTTTGCAATTGTGCACTGTGCCTGATTCTCACCTATCCTACTGGTGCTTTGCTTCATGAATACAGATTGCCCACAGAATTTCAAATAGCCTTTTTGGTCAAGTGTAGACACATGTGTTTATCATAGTATGAATAGACTTGAAGGTTAGATCAAATCTTGAAAAAAATATTCTAATATGACTTAGGCTCGCTAAATAGAGCATATCATCACATTAGCTTTGGATTTGGTAAAAAGACAACAAAACAATCCTGTTAGATTCCTATCCTGTAGCTTCCTTATTTGAAAGATGCATAGATGGTTCTTCTAAATAACTTGGATGCAGGTAAGGTGAACCAGCCTTGATATTTGGAGTCTAGAGCAACTCTAGAAGAAAGGGGAAGCTGTAATTACTTTTTAAATGCTATGAAGTAATAATTTGACTCTTTGAAGAGGCTGGGGAAGGGGGTCACTATTTACCATGTGCCACAGTGTTTTGTTTTCATTCCTATTACTGCTTGACTAATTTTTCTTGAACTTGTGAAGCAGTGTTACAGATCATGGTATAATTCCTATTAAGTATGTCACTGAAAATTTGGCTAACACATTGGAGAGACGAACTAAAATACTCCAAACTCAATGAATTACTCGTGTATCTTTGCATAGAATTCTCAAACATTTGGTGTTTGTTTTTCCTTCATGAGCTTAGTTTTTGTGAATTGGTGGCAGTACCTCTTAAGTGTCATATTTTTGGGGAAGTGTTAGCATAGTAACTAAACTTTTCTTGTAAAAGCCAAATATCAGTCTTGTCATTGTGGATACAGTTTGCCTACTGCCAGTACTTTCATCTCAGCTTTATCTTCTGGTGTGTGACGCTTACAATACTACTACTATTTGTTTTCTGGGGTTTTTAGATGAGAAAAAGAAGGAAAGGAAGAGAGCTAGAGGTATCTCTCCAATTGTTTTTGATAGAAGTGGAAGTTCTGCATCAGAATCTTATGCAGGTATTCTTTCTTTTTGTTGCTTGTCATACTTGACTGACTCTGACTCTTAATGTGATACCTAAGAGAAATGTAACTGGCTGTAGAAATATGTGGGGTATGTAGTTTGATTATTTGGTATTTGATTTCTGGCATGTTCTGTGTGGACAATTTTGGGGGAAGTAGGCATCTTGTTTAATGCTATTTTGTTGCTTAAGTGGAATTTTCACTTTTTTTTTTTTTTTTTTGAAACTTGGAAGATGATGATTCAGTGACTAGTTTTCTGAGTAGGAAACTGTTCAGATAATAAATATGAAAAACCAAACCCAAACCAAACTTCCCAAAAAATCAAAACAAAACACTCGTGCACATTGACCAGTATTTTTTGTGTGTGTGGGTGCGCGCCAGGAAGAATAATTTGTCATGAATGAAAATTGTATGTGACAAGGCTGTAGAAATTGTATATTATCTCTATTAAGGCTCAATCTGAACAAATGTACTTTGGCTAAACACAGGTTCAGAAAAGAAGCATGAGAAATTATCATCTTCCGTTCGTGCTGTCCAAAAAGGTATCATTTAAATTTGAATTTTTAATGCATGCTCCATCACATGCCATTGTCTGTTTATTCATTAAGTTGCGTCAAAATGGTAACGTTCCAATATAAATCAATTTGAATGCTTGATTGTTGCGGGTATAAACAGCGATGCATCTCCATCTTGATTTACTTCTGCACGTCTTTAAAGAGCTGCACAGACATCAATCAGATTCTCTTGCAGAAGCAACAAAGCAGAAAAGAGATGCTTGTACTTGAGAGAGGAAACTTTTTTTTAAATGGGTACTCTCATCAAAGCCTAATTATACAAATGTTTTGCAGTACCTCTGACACTGTAAGCCAGAGTGCAAGTATATTGGAACCTTACTGAAATATTGATTTATTTTTTTTAATAATAATAATCTTTGTGTGTGTGATGTATTAAAACTTTATTTACTTATTTATTTTTAAGAAAAGCTTGGCATTGTATGCTCCGTGGCTTAGATTTCAGCGTTCAGGCTCGGGTGGGGGAAGGGGCTTAATTGGATAAATTTGTCTTAAAAAACCCATGCCCACATTTTGAAGGAAAAACTTCAAAAGTTAAACTTCAGCTTATTTGGAATTTTTTTTCAGACCAAACCAGTAAACTTAAATATATTCTCCAAGATGCAAGATTTTTTCTCATCAAGAGTAACAACCATGAAAATGTCTCACTTGCCAAAGCCAAGGTATGTTTAAACCAGCTTGGAAACTGATTTATTAAGAAACTTGCTATGTTTGGGGAATGAAGCATACTATCATCCAGATTTTCTTTTGTGCTGAGTAGGTCTTGGCTCAGGAGAATGTGGAGCTCTTGTTTGCTTCATAATTATTGAAGTGAGGTTCTGGCCCCACCCAGTGCAAATTAGAGTAGCCCCTTGACTGTCCTTAATTTATGCCATCTGGCTGTAGATTCTGAGGATCAGACTAAGTGATTTCCTTGAGGTCCTTTCTAACCTATTCATGGCTGCCTACACAGGTGCTTGGAGATGGGGGTGTCTTAATTAGAGTGGCTCCCAGAGAGCCACTCTAATTAAAATGCCTCGCTGTCACGTGTATTAAGCCCCCCTCATTTTAAATCAATTAGGTGTAGATAAAGTACCCCCACGGTCATTTTAAAATGTGCAGGGGATTATATATGTGATGGCAAGGTAATGCCGGAGCATTCTAATTAAAATGTGAACCAGCATGTGTATATATACAGACGCTGATTCTGTTCCTGAGAAGTGAAACAATATTTTTCCCACTGCAGAGACTCCTTAAACTGAGAGGGTAGCTGGTGTGACAGTGGCATCAGAGTAGGCTCAGCTGATGTTGAATGTTGTACTTCTGCAATGGTAAACTTCACTAGGAAGCTGCAGCCAGATTCTGGTTTCTGAGTATTCCTGAATCTAAGCTATTGGTCTTTAGTAACAGTTTGTTCCAAAATATGGGTACAGAGGAATCGGAAGGCTATTTTCAGTAACGTTTGAGTTGCTACAAGAAATTTGCATATCAAAAAGATGTGGTTTCTACATCTGAAATACATGGTACGCTGTCAGAATTTTTTGAACTCGGCTAAGTATCCAGTGTCTAATTTTTGGTTACTAAATATACTAGGCAAATGCACAGTTCCTGTACTGTTAAATGTTCCTAGTATGTCAATGTAGTTCCTGTCCTGATAAATGTTCCTAGTGTGTCAGTTTCAGTTGATTTTTGAGGGTTTCTTGTGTATTCAGATACTGTAGATTTCAATTACCCTTTGAATTCTTTGGTTACTTGCCCTATATTTAGGTGTACAATAGATGCTTCAAGCTCCAGAACAATAAAATTTGGGTTGAAACTAACTTAAACTAGATGCTCCAAATCAGAAATTGGGATGTCTAGAACACTGAAGCTTAGCTTTTCCTCTTTAGCAGCTTTTCTTGCCTGATAAGTTTATTTAACAGAAATCAATTGTAATTCTGCTTGGGTTATAGTGTAATGTGTCTGGCAGGAGGAAAAGACTGTTCCCAAAGAAATTGTTTGAGCCTTGTTAATGCATTCCATGAGAAGGACACTTTTGTGTCATTGTATGTGTGTGTGTCCATCTACGTGTGTTCTCCATTTAATTGTGGAGCAGGTGTACCTCATTTGGCTGGATTGTTTATTCTTGAAAGTAGAATCTTTACTACTGTGGTTTCTGAATCCATCAGTTGCTTTGAGACTTCCATATATCCCTTAAAAGGCAATTCATATTCCACCCTGTTATGACAGATAAGTCAGGGGAGCACAGAAATACCTGCGATGTGGTTGTATTGTCTGCTTAAAGCTGCATATCAAAGTTATTGCGGGTCCTGTTTCTGGCTAAAAAGTAGTGCTGCCATAGTGGTATCTGAGCCACCTTTTTGCTTACAGAGGATGAATAGGCCATTTGTATTTTCATGTTGAGTTAGCAGTAATTTGGAAAGAAAATCTAAGAAAACATTGTTGCAGCATTATCCAGTTAGGGTAGGGCAGGTGTCTTTTTTGAAAATCATGCTAAAACAGATTGAAGAGGTAAACACACGTTCAACAGTGCTTAAAATTTAAAATGGTTTAGTTATGCATGTTACTTGTGAGCCTGGTCTGAAGCTGCAGGTGAGTACACAGTACTTTTTTGTTTTATAAAGTCCCTTTGTGTTCATCTTACATGGAAGAGGGGAGGAAAAAAAGAAAAGCCATATTTAATGTCTTCATTCTCCGTGTTGGAGTTGGCAACAGCGTGTTCATCCATTATTATTTAGAGTTGTTATGTTGTCCCTCTGTGTACATCCTTCAGTGACTTGAGGACAAGCTAGTATCTTCAATGTGCAGTACTTGTTCACTGAAGTATGCAGTGAAAACCAATTTGCAGACTAGCCATTCCTCTTGCAGTATTCTTTAGCTTCCCTCTTCCCGTGTTGGCAAATCTTGTGATTTTTTTTTTTTTTTCTTGTGAATTTTTCTGGTTAGGGTTTGAGGCTTTAAGTACAACACCAAGTCACACAATTTATATGGTAATCTCATACTTAATTTTTACAATAAAGCTTCAAGCTGTCATGGCTGTAGAGAAAAGCATAAAGATACATAAGTGTGTCTTAAAGGCTCAAACCTGAAGCCAAAGAGAAAATGAATGGTTTGTGAAAGCTGACTTTTGTAACTTTTTGAACAGTTGGCTGGAGAACTAGTCACTGTCAATCTAGAGACATAGATTGCCCTCATTACTTATTCCTAAAACACTAGGATTATTACTTGCTACCTTTTTAAATGCATTTTAAATTTAATACAGCTGCTTGTAGTGATTAACCAATGTACATTTCCCTTATTCTTTTGATAGGGCGTGTGGTCAACTCTTCCAGTAAACGAAAAGAAGCTCAATGCTGCATTTCGATCAGCAAGGAGTGTTATCTTAATATTCTCAGTGAGAGAGAGTGGTAAATTCCAAGGTAAGTGAAGGTGACATTTGGCTGTAAAATTAGGTTTTTCTGTTGTTACAATGTGTGTTGATTGCTTTTTTTTGCTTTTTTTTTTCTTTTAGGGTTTGCAAGGCTCTCATCTGAATCCCATCATGGCGGATCACCTATACACTGGGTGCTGCCTGCAGGAATGAATGCAAAAATGTTGGGAGGAGTCTTTAAAATTGACTGGATTTGCAGGCAAGTGATTTTGTTCATTTAAAAGTTTTTGTACTGTGTCCAAAAAGGTATTTCAATTCCATTTGTTTTTCTAACCATCGTTTTAGGACTGGTTTTTGACTAGGTTGCTTTGAAAATTCAGCTCTGGTTGAGAGAGAGGGCTCTATTTTACTGGCTTTGGGATTTATTCCCATAAGTGAGACTGCTGTAGCAATTTTTTTTTTTTGCATTGACTCTTAACGGTTGTAAATGAGGAATTTTGTGTGTTTCACCTTTTTCACTGGCTTAACATGCTGAGAGTACAAACTGGCATTTGTTCCCATCTATCATGTAACGCTTCTTCTCTTAAAATGACTGTTCATTTTGAGATTCTGGTCTGTCAGCCCTGGAGAACAAAAAATAATGAAAGGGGAGGGTTGTTTTTTTTTTTATGGTTTTGGAGAGTTGTCCTTAATCAGATCTGTCAGGTTTTGGCTAAGTAAATAAAATGCAGCTGCCTCAGAATAAATAAAGTCCAAATTGGGAGGGATAGAAAATATATCTTAGGATGTGGACATGACACATTTATACAGCGATGCAACTTATTAGTCCACCCATCAGTATAAATTATATTAGTGTCTGAGTAGACAGTCCTCCCAAGATAGCTGCCTACAATAGTTGTATAACAGTGTTTTTCCACTAAGTGGCAGGGAGCAAGTAGTGATTACTTCCATTGAACAAACAGCTACCCCAAAACAAATTGACTAGAGGTGTCAATACACGAATATATTTTACTGGCACATAGGTATAGCTATCTCATTTTGTGCCTTTATTCAGAATGGAGTGACTTACGTAAATGTATCATGCTCACAGCTTTGGATGGAATAAATGTTCCTATTGCATGTGAAATGCTAGGAACCTGTAGGGACCACCTAGGAGGTGTCTTAAAACTAACACTTGCAACCCAGGGTACCAAGTTTATTGGTTAATTGTAGGAGTATGTTTCTTCTAAGGGATTCTTTATAAAACTAAATCAGTAGTTTAACATTTCCCCAGGTAAATCTAGGTAGTTGTATTCACTGACATTCTGATTGTCACAGTTTGTTAGTGTTAAAGATAGAGAGAAGTCTTATCTTTGTGTGTGGTGTGAAATAACAGAGGGTAGGCTTTTTGAAGTTGTGCTGAGTCTCAAGTTTGTATAAGTATGGCAAAACAGAATTTTGATTCTTGTATGAATTTTGATTCTATACAAGTTTGTTGCCTATATAGAATAGGCTTGCTTATCATGAACTGCATAATGCCAAATTAAAAATACCAGAATTAAAAAAAAAAAAAAAAAAAAAAAAATTCTTGAGAGACTAATTTTTAAAATATTCATTCAGAGTCATGTCATAGTGCAAAGAGTTATACATTTGTACTGATGCAATGTTCTGTTTTATGCATTTTTAACAAGACAAAACCATAAATGATACCACTTGCATATTTAGGCGTGAATTACCCTTCACTAAATCTGCTCACCTGACCAATCCTTGGAATGAACATAAACCAGTAAAGATTGGACGCGATGGACAGGTTTGTTAATTTTTAAACATTGTCTTTATTTCTACTAGTAAAACAAAAATAATGAGTAGAAAATGTAGTCGGAGGTTTGAAAACTTTTGGGTTCTTGTACCGTTTGAGTTCTTGCGGTATAGATTTTATTGGTAAGAGCATATGTCAGCAAATTTGATTTCTTACAACACTGGTGAGAGCAGTGCAAAACAACACATTAAATCGCATCACAATGGCTCAAACTTGCAGCACCTGATGAAAACTAGCTTTTTATAACAGATGAAGGTCACTAACATTTTCTATTATGTTCTCAATCCAGAAAGAGCCCATATGTTAGAGCATTGTGCTTTTGAGTTTGTTTTGAACAGTTTTATTTGCTGGATTTTGCATAAACTTGGCGGGGGGGGGTCGAGGAGTGATACAGATTCTGTTATTGTATTTACACCTTTTAAACGGAAGCTAATGATTCAGCTATACATACTATAATTCGGTTAAATGGGCACTGTCAACTCCAGTAATGACAGCTGTGTAAAAATACTTTCCAAGATCAGCATAAACTATCTGGAAAAAAACCAACTCTTCTGCATAGTATTTTTAACAGGAAGGTGGGAGTGATACCCCTTGAAGTTAAGATGGATCTAGACACTGCAGTTGTCTGGAGAACAGGGGGGAAAAAAAGTAATTTTAAAGGATGCAAATATGACTAGACATGTTTTTATATGCCAGTGACTTTGAACAGTGAAAGTGAGCTTTTAATTTTGGTTAAAATTACTTGAAGGAAATTTAACTGGTTATTGTTGACAGTTTCCATTTAAATGGTTAAGAAATGTGTTTTATATTTTTTTTCTGTCCACTTAACTACATATAGCATTGCAGTCAAGCCGCTTTACAGTGCTTATATGAAGTGCTGAACCTTTTGGAGGGAATATTCCAGAATACTGGTAATGTGTAATTAAAACATGTCTCAAGTTAGCTGTCCATTCTGCAGCTTGCTACTAAAACCACAGTATACAATATCTAGACAAATTAAAAGCACCTTCCGAACCAACCTACGGTTCTTCCACTGAGTTTGGAGAATGCTTAATTGTGCATAACCTAACTGTATATCCCTGCACGTGGATTCTTGTCCACATAATCCAGACTCTTTAGGTGGTGCTGACTGTGTTTCTTAATTGATCACAAATTTGTACGCATTTTTTAATTGGTTATGAAACGCTCCTCCCACTTTCACTTAGCGAAGCAGCAGCCTGACTTGAATGTCTTCAGGAACATATTGTCCCAGCGTAAGATGATTCTGTGAATATGTTAATTAGACCCCCACAGAGTAAAAGGTAACCTAACTGTGATGTGCTCTCAGTTTCTAGTGATATTGAAGCCTCTTCAAAGTGGTGGTGTTTCTGTGTCTTGGGAAAGTAATTAATGGGAAGTGTTCCCTGTCTTCAGCTTGTCGATCACTGTTCAACTTCTAACCAATTCTAGGAAATTGAGCCTGAATGTGGAACCCAGCTTTGTCTCCTATTCCCTCCTGATGAAAGTATTGACTTGTATCAAGTCATTCATAAAATGAGGCACAAGAGAAGAATGCATTCACAGCCCCGATCAAGAGGACGTCCATCCCGTCGAGAACCAGTCCGGGATGTGGGAAGGTTAGAAACGTTCTTTGGACTGATAGTAGGCACATGTATCAGAATAACGTGATGGAGGAATGTGATTCGTCAAAAGCTTTCCCTGCGATAAAGAAGAGAGAAAATCCTCAAATCAAGCTGCATGGACGAGTTTGTGGCTTCATTGAGGATTTCACATTGTCCCCCGGTCTGTCATTTTTCAAGAGGAAAATGGGGATCTTTGCTTTTGCAGAAAAAAGTTCTTAAAATAAAGTGCTCTAGTTTAGACTAGATCTTTAATGCAGATAATGCACCATGTAATGCTAGTGATAGGTTAAGCTTGGATTTCTTATGAGCAGGCTAGATGGAGGAAGAGGAAGTCTTTATATGCCAAAATGTTTTAATATCTTGTAAAAGCCTTTTCTTTCAGGTGTATCTCTGGATAAGCCTTATCAAATATGGGACTTTTATAAGGATCACTTATAATTTTTCAGAAGATGCCGCCTCATTTTGAGGATAAAATATTTAAATTATCTTGATATTCAAGAGGAGCATTATTGGGACTGTTTCAAATTGTTTCACCGTGATGTGTTAACCCCATTGCCAAATATTCTCTAACATGTAACCACTGAATTCACACATCTTGCTGAGCTTCTGAAAACAGTAGGTTCTTTCCAAAGGGAAGCAAGTGGCCCTTGGAGACCCGGCAACAAACCAAAAAGAATGGCTGTTGCTGTGTCTGCTATACAACCTTTCCAGATGCTGGCAGTACTCGTGGACTTAAAATGTTTTTACAGGATCGACATGGTTATTGATCACTGCTTTATGAACTTAACAGCATTTACCAGAAAAAGGGGGTATAACTTGGTACAGAGTTGGAGAAGTCTTTGCAAAGAACTGATATAAGCCCTTCTACCAATCACCTTTTCCCTGTCTAGCCACTTTGCATACAGATAAATCTAAAGTTTTTTTTCTGCTAAAGACTGATGCATGGTTTGGGCTGAAACCTTTGGTTAAGTTTCCTCTTTGTGGAAACATCCTGTGGTAGGTACAGATACCCAACAAGAGTCCCCATTTCCTTGAGCTTAAAAAGGACACTGTAACGAGTAGGTAGGAGGACACCTGGCAGCGCCCCCCTTTTTTGGCTTTAAAGGACTGAGCACCAAGATGGCTTTTGAAGTTAAGCTAAGAGGTTTCCAGTGCAATAAAGTATTTACCAGTGAAGGTTTTGCAATGGACTGCAAACTATACATATAACACCACCACACCTTCTCAAGCCTGCCAGGGCCTCCATTTATGTTTGTGGCTTACAGCTTAAAGTCAGTAGTTGGACTACTAAATGAACTGTTACTATCATATTTTATACCGGTCGTAAATGCACTCTCAAAACTACAAGAAAGCGGTATGTTTATTCTTTACACCAGCTTTTATTTTTTTCTTAATCTGATTTTGCTGTAGATGCAACTGCTTTGTTCTTGGGTTTTTTGCTCAGAGGGTGAGGAATCTGCTCTCCTTTTTAACAAAAAAAAAACAGTTACCGGGGTAAAGCGGACTTTAAAAAATGAGGGAGGAGGGAGGGAGGAAAAAAGATTATCTACTAAACAAACTTAGTAAAATGGATTGTTTATTATAGTTATTTAATGGGTATGGTTGCAAAGCAGTTAATAGATTTAAAGAAACATAAGATTTGGCATAAATACTTATTTGTTGATGAAAAGCTTGTTTTTGCATAAGGTTTTGAAACATTCATATTGAACAGTGATGGGTAGTTTTATGATATTTATCTTGGTAGAATAGAAACTAATAACCAGTTTTGTATCCTACAATGAGCTTAGTGATGTATGGAGCTGGTCTTAAGATTGGCTTCTTCATTGTGAGTGAAGTTCTTGGATATTATTTAACACTTCAGTAATGAAGCAGTTCTCTTTAGAAGGGAGCTTTTGTTTTCTCATTTATTAGGAAGTGTAAAAGTTTGGGATTAATCTTTACTCAAAGGCACTGATTGAGTAATAATATTTAAAAGTACCTCTTGCCGTTAGCAGGTTAGGAAGATAATGGTGGAAGAGGTATTACGCAAGGCATACATGACTTTATTTAAAAAGACGTCCAGGAAGATTTTAATTTTACAAAGAATTGTCTGCCCTGTAGCTAGAAATTTAGCAAAATGTTTATGTTAAATGGAAAAGATGCTTTATTCTTGCAAATGAGACCAACTGTATTTATATTTGTAGAAACTGATTTAGTAATCAGAGTTAGCCTTTTTTGTCTATTTTTTCTAGGATAGATTAAGATGGAATGTGGAAAATGTAATGTTAAAGTGTAAATTAAGAGTTCGTTTTGTTTTAGCTTCTTAAATAATCTTTTTGGATATTAAGGGATAGAGGAATAAAATTCCTCTTACTGAGAACATCTGTTAAGAACGATAAAGTAATGGTAAAGGATCACTAGATATCTAACTAGATCAGAATATCACTTATGGTGATTTGAAGTTAAAACTTGTTTCTGTAGATAGTTTGAAACCATAACTGAAGTGGACTGAGTTCTGCCCACCTTGAGCCAGAGATCCTGGGCGGCCTGTGGGGCTTTCTCCAGGGAAGTATGCTGCTCTGAAGAATGCTTCAAACAAGCTTGTTTAATCTCTGATATCTAATTTGTGTAGGCGTCGACCAGAGGATTATGATATTCATAACAGCAGAAAGAAACCAAGGATTGACTATCCCCCTGAGTTTCACCAAAGACCAGGTTAATATCTTATTATGAAGATACATGTGTACAGCTGTGCAAGTGTTTATAATACTACAGAATTTTGAAGTATTAAAGATGTAACAGGTGTTTATTATGTGGCTGGGGTTTGAGTAAGACTTCTGACAATCACTTGGCACTAGTTTAATTTTCTTCTCATTGAAATCGGTAGTAAAACTTGTTGTTTTTGGTGGGGAGCTGAGTTAGGCCAGTGCTTTTGAAAATCCCTCTCTGAACATAACGGAAATTACTGAAGTCTTACACTAGTTGGCCGATAGAAAATTAAAGTAAAAAAAGTACATTTATGTGGTACCATAAAGTACCTGGTGCTATGTGCCTGTTCAGTGTTTCATGTTACAGGATCGTTAAAGGTAGTAGATGCTAATTGCTCACTTCCAAGAATCTACTATGGCTGTAATGATCTGCTTTCCTTTGGAATATCATCATATCTTTTGCTTTTAATTTTCCAAGCATTTCCCACCACAGAGCAGTTGTCTAAGAAGCCTAGTTTTGGAGCAGCCCAGATTTGGTGTTTGAACATGCAGTTAGTTGGTAGAGGCCATCACCAGGGAGTCAGTTACATGACACTGGTCTTCAAGCACTTCCAAGTAGATCAGTAAAATAGTTCTAACCTTCATCTGCACAGATGTTTTCTCTGTACTACACAAGACTATACAAGTGTATCCATCCTCTTTGTTACTGCATTATTACTTCAAGCATCAAAGAAATTGTGAAGTCTGTTGCTTTATTTTGTGAGCCTTTTTGAAACTGGAAGTAATAGCAGTATGTACAAGGACACACCTGTGAGGAAAGGCCCAATGGAAGGGTACATTCTAATGAAGGACTATGGGTTTTAAAGATTGTTGCCATGCTCCGTTGAAGTTGTTTGATAACGCTGCTTGATGTTTGAACAGGGTATATAAAGGATCCCAGGTATCCAGAAGTAGACAGGTAAGATGCGTTCCTATTCTTTTATTTGATGCCGTAGTAACTTGTTGGTATGAATAACTTGGATTTAGTTTTACGCATTTTATTCCCAACAGACGATTTTCAGGAGTTCGCCGAGATGTGTTTTTAAATGGGGTGAGTTAGTGCCCACCTGTTTTGGTTGGGGGGGAGGGGTTGTTATTTTTAGCATAATGTTCAGTGCTTTCAGAGCTGTTAGCAGTCACTAACACTTCTGTCTTTCTTTTCAGTCCTACAATGATTACGTGAGGGAATTCCACAACATGGGACCACCGCCACCCTGGCAAGGAATGGTTTGTATTTTCTTAAGCTTCAGTTATTCCCTTGAATGAGCCCACTTTTTTTTTTTTTTTTTTAATCCTTTGGACCTGTTTATTATATCCTGACCCATCCTACTGCTCACTCAAATACTGCATATTTTTGCTGTGGTATGTACATTGAATATGCAAAAAAACCTGAGATTGAGTTGGGTGAACTACATGTGTAAAGAGAGCATGTGTAAAAGTTTTATCAAATAGTGATAAACGTACTGTTAACATTTCAGAGGCTGCGGTGACAGCATAAGACCTAAGGCAGTAGTAATCCATTCAGCTTGAGTGCATGGAAGCCATAACATTTGAGGAAAATTCTATTTTTAAATAAAGACAAAGAATGTGAAGAATGTCCACACCCTTCTCTCCTTGCCCTGAATCCCTGGATTCAGATCACTAACTGGCCTTCGTATCAGACCTGCAAGCAGGAAAACAAAATGTATCAAAAAGGAAACAGGCCTCTGTGGTGCATTGGAAGGCTGTCTCCCATGGGGAGGATGATTGGCTTGGGCAGTGGAATGTCTTAAGGAAGCAGAGTGTATTTGGCATCAGAACTTGGGTAAAGCCATGGCTGTATGGCGGCAGCAGCAGCTATTTGATTAGGTTATCTCTCTACTTAGGTGAGGGCACATGCCAGCAAAATCCAGTTAACTCATTTGCTACTCAAAACATGCCCCTTTTTGTTCTGCTGGTTGGTGGTTGGCAACATTTTGCGCTTACTGATGAATACATATTTCTGGTTATGTAGCTCCTTGCATTCTGACTCTGGATGTCATCATGTATGACTTTTTTAGTAACAGATTTGTGAATATGTGGCTATCTTTATTGTAGCTCTTGCATGAGAGAAAGGGATGCCTGCTATAGATGTTGTGATTTGTTCTCCTTCGCTGGAACCCTTCTCCCTCCCCGCACAAAAAAGATAAAATCCCCAAATTGAAGGAGAATCACAGCAGCTAGGTCTGGCAGACTGCAGAGAGGAGCATTCCTCTTCAGATATCACTAAACCTACTGACACCCATTTCCCCCTTTCCCATTTCTCCACCAACCCCTCTTTATCCCCCCTTCTCCCCCTCAGGTCAGCCAAATACTTGTCATAAAATTCAGCTACCCCATCCAGTTCGGCTAGAATTTGCACTGTGAGCCAAATAGTGCTCCTCTGCGTGAAGGACCTTGCTGACATGTTGGAATGAAATCGAGGTGGATGAGGGCAAGAGGGAGAAAGGAGAAGTGGTCAGGTGGCTTTTCAGTTTTAAAGAAAAATTTGGCTGCTGTCACTGGAGCAGGTTTATTTGTCATGAAGAACAAGTTTGATGCTCTTACTGCGATTTATTCTGATTCAAGTCAGTGTAATGAATGGATTATTTGCCAGTGAAGACTCTCACTTATGCCAAAATATTCTTGTCTACATGCAGAATAGAACTGGCTAATTAATGAAAGCTGGGGTGATTATGATACTACATGTCAGTGCTTTGGAGCTATACCTAAAACACTTGGTGCTGGTAGTTTAGGGGGGAAATGTCTCAAGGATCCTGCTACAATTTATAGTGCATCCAACCATACTTCCTGTGCATTGTAAATGTTCTAAGACATTGTCTACCTGTGGGTGAAAAATCTACTTGGATAGCATTTTTCCTGGCTTTAAGTGCTGTTTGTTCTCTGCTTTGGAGCATTTGATAAACATGCTGTACTTTCCTTGCAGCCACCATATCCAGGTCTGGAACAGCCTCCCCATCACCCTTACTATCAGCACCATGCTCCTCCGCCTCAAGCTCACCCTCCCTACTCAGGACACCACCCGGTACCGCACGAAGCAAGATACCGAGACAAGCGAGTAGTAAGTGTACGTACTGGTGGGGGGAGAAAGAGATTGTACGGCAGAAGTAGGAGTAGCAGGAATTCCAGGGATGCCAGCAGCTTAAACCCATGAGGGTTCTGAAAACCTTGGCCTTAAGGTAAGGCTTCTAAATGCATTTTTGTAAGTCTGGTCATCCAGGTGAAAAAGACTTGAAAATCCCCTCTATGAGATGTAGCAATACAAAAATCCCAGCATTTCTTTCTACAGATCAGTGGCTATTTTTCTTTGTTGATCTTTTTGAAGAAGTTTCTGATTAGGGTCTAGTCTTATTGAGGACTGGGGGGTGGTTTCCAGGACTGTCAAGTTTGTCCCCTGCGTTCACAGCCATTTATCTAGGGATATCCCAAAATAGATACTTCAGACTGTCGCACGTAACTACAAGCACAAACCAGGAAATACCATGAACATCCTACTATGTGCTGTAGCTAAGCACAGGGAAGACGAGCCACTGCCAGGGCTTTGGGGTATTGCCTGATATGCTCAGAGATTCCCAGGAAAAGCAGTGGCCAATGCAATAATAGGAAGCACCCTTTCCACCACCCGCCATACTTACCAGTCCGACCTAGAGGGAAAATCCCAGATTACTACTTGACTTTCCATATTCAGTTATAGGTGTGACCCTGACCTGTTGGTGTTATTGCTTGTAATGCTGTGTTTCTGATCATTTACCCTTCACTGTTGGTAGAAAACGGGTCCTTGTAGCAGTGCTCAGTGTTGTACAGTAACCCAAATACTCTAGACAAGAATAGGTTCATAGGACACGTGAATGCTTGGTTCCCTGGGGACAAATAGCAGCGGCACAACTTGCACTTTGTCCCCAGGGATCACCTGTGCCATGTGCTCTTTGGCAAATGGCAAGTTGCCTCGGGTAGGGTAGGGTAGGGTAGGGAAGGCTGGGGCCTGCACACCTGGGGGCCTCCCGGGGCTGCAGCTGTGGCAATGCCACATGGAGCCTGCCTGGCAGCAGAACATGGCTCTGGATGGCCCAGCTCCTCTTTTCAGCAGCACGCGCTGCCTGAGCATATATCTAGGTGTCAAAAAACCAGGGCAGTGCACAATTGGGCAACGTGCCCTTGCAGCGCAGAGAACACCGGACTATGCAGTATGTGGCACTGCAAATGTGTTTGCAGCACCACATCCCACATGACTGCATTCATCTGGATGTGCATATACTGGCTAATTTTGGGGGACCTGGCTTTTGGTTCTCTTAGCAGTGGAATTAGAGCTTCACTTTCTGCTGTGTGGTGAAACACATTGAGAAGACAGAATCATAGATAACCTCCTGAAGTCTCTTCTAGCCTTTTATAATCCAGCCCCCTGCTCCAGGCAGGGTCATCCTTGTCTAAACTAGCTCATCCAAACATGCATGCAAATTTCCCCTACCCCCCTGCATCCAGCCAGGCAGGCAGCACCTGCAGAGCAGCATGAGATCATACGTGGCGGTGCTTCATCCCTGTCTGCCTATGTGTACCCCCTAAGGCCTTCTCAAGTACCCCCAGGGGGACATGTATCCCCAGTTGACAACACCTGCTCTAAGTAATCTGTTCTAATGCTTAACTACTATCCCAGTGAGAGAGTTCTTCCTTTATATTCAGTCTAAATTTTGCTTGTTGCAATTTAAGATGGTTACTCCTTATTCTGCCCCCTCTGTCACCTTCCTTTAAAATGGGAGCGGCCAACCTGTGGAATGCATGCTACAAGTGGCACAGGCAGCCTCTGTGTGGCACAGGGCAGACTGGGGAGGAGGGAGCATAGGGCAAGGAGCAAAAGGCAGAGCCAACAGATCAGGCAAGGGAAGGGTATTAGAGTGGTACTCGGGAAGGATGTGCAGGGCTTACCTTGCAATACAATTGTCAAAAAGGTTGATTTCCGCCCCCCCCAGCCCCCTCACTGCTATCTAAACATCCTTCAAGTATTTGAAGACTGTTAATAGATTCCGGCCTCAGTCCTCTAGGCTAAATAATCCCCGTTCTTCCAGCCTGTCCTTGGAAATCACATTTTCTAGACCTCTAGCCTTTCCTTTTATTTTTCCCCCCTTTTTGGTTGCTTTCCCCTGGGTTCTTTCTAATTTGTTTATGAATCAAGGGTTTTTTTGTGATTAAACCAACTATATTGTGCAACAGCTCTCCTCACTGTCTTTTGGGGATCCAAATGCCCTTCCTTGGGTCTGAGAGTCAGATGCAGGCTGAGCTCAATATCAGGGGGAAGCTTCCATTTAAACACAAACTGGAGGGATGGAGTGCTGTGAACTAGGAGTGAAGATGTGTTATAAGGATCCATTATGAGACAAGTGCATTATAATAAGCAGTCTAGTTTGGGGCAGTGGGACCATTCAAGAAGGAAAGGTAGTTGTTATTTCCTATGAAGTACAGGGAGGCTGGTAGAAGTTTTTGTTAGGTGGTAGTGAGCCATGAAGCCCCTGTCTATTAAATTTGTAATTGGACAGTAAAAAAAAAATAATTCTGAATTTTAATTTTGTCCATATCTTCCTTGAAGTGTGATTCTCAAACTGAACACAGCCCTGCAGGTGAGGTCTCATCAGTGCTGACTAGAGTAGGTGAATCATTTCCACTCTGTTACCAGCAACACTTCTGTTAATATACCCCAGCAAGCTGTTGTAGCGAGAGCACACTGATGGCTTATATCCAGCTTCTGGTCCACAATAATCCCAGTCTGGTTTTATGCTTGTGACTGTACAGTCCTAAGTACAAGGCTTTGTCCTCATTTGAATTCTACTCAATAAATTTCAGACCTTTTTCTGGTTTTGAAGGTCCTTTTAAATCTTAATCCTGACTTCAAAAGTATGTGCAACTTCATCCAGTTTGGTATCATCTGCAGACTTGCTAAGCATGCACTTGAGGCTGTGCTTCAACTCCATAAATGAAGATATTAAAAAGTATCAGATGGTGTTTTGAAGGCAGGTGGGAAGAAGAACTGATAACAGGCACAATAAATTGTGCTAGAATGCCACATTAGCAGCTACCTTTTGATCTTGGTCTTCCAGGAGGCCCTAAGTACATAGCCAGTATTAGCTAATTGTGTGGGCGAATGAAATGGTTCGGGTAGTCAGAATGGAAAACAAACTAACTAAAACTGTTCTTCTTTTCACAGCATGATTATGATATGAGGGTAGATGACTTTCTGCGGCGCACACAAGCGGTTGTCAGTGGTCGGAGAAGCAGACCTCGGGAGAGAGACCGCGAACGGGAACGTGACCGTCCCAGGGATAACAGAAGAGACAGAGAACGTGATAGAGGGCGTGATCGGGACAGGGAGAGAGAAAGGATTTGTGACCGGGACAGAGACAGAGGAGAAAGGGGCAGATATAGAAGATAATCCTTCTGGAGCTAGTGGTCATTTGAAACAACAACAGCAAAGCTTGTATTTTTTGTGTGTGTTTACAAGTAGTAAATTTTATTTTCAGCTGTCTCAAGTTCATTGTGTAGAAGGATTGATGACCCTCTTTGTTCCAAGCATGCAGTAAACTTTGAACTGGAAGAAAAAAAGCCAAAAAATGCACACAGTTGATGTTTTTATTGGAGCAGAATGGGAAGCAGTTAAGAATGTAGATATTGGTTCATTCTCAATAAGTGTTCATCTACTTAGTGACTTCATCCTAGGTTTGTTTGGGTTTTTTTTTAATACTGATGGATAACTGCCATAATATATTCTTTTTTTTGCTTTGTTTTCTTAAATGTAGTTTCACATGGTTCATTGGAAAAAATGCTGCTATCAAGTATGCAAATATTGAAGTATGATTTGACTGTATGGCAGTGTTGTAGCAGCCTTGTTTTTCTGTTTTGTTTTGTTTTTTAACCTCTGTAAAGTCAAGTGTTTTTTTTTTTCCCCCCAGTCTTCAATAATGAAAGCAATATTAAGAAGACACTATTGATATCTAATTTTTAACCTTTTTAAAAGAATCTTCCTGTGTTCAGTAATATTTTGGTCAAACCTCTTGTCCTAGCCTTTCTCCTCTCCAAAATGTACACATTGCTTGGAATGTCCACAATTCGCGTGTGTGAAACCAGAAAATATTGCTGTACTCTACATTGCTACCATTTTTTTTATAAAATAAATTGGTAACTATTGAAACTTTTAGTTTGGCTTCCAACAGTTTTCTGAGGGCAGGCTTGTGTTCAAAAAGGGTACCTTCCACCTGGAAGGAATACTTTGCTTTTGAGTAGGGGGGAATTTCTGAATAACAACAACAGCAACAAGAATTAATTGTAATGGGGGATGAGCTTGGGTAGGCTCATGTTCCCAACCCCCTGTTCTACTGCAGTTCAACCCATAAGCTTTGCTGCACATGGATCATTGGAATATTTTTGTTTTGTTCTAATGGCTACCTAACTAGTAACTATCAAAAGGGATGGCAGCTCTGCATTTAGTTTTTACCAGAACAGCTCTGTAAGTACCATGCCTTCAGTATGGGATCTGTTTGTCCATTATTGATTCATTGTATCAGCCTCTATGTTGCATTACTTGTATGATGTCCAGACCCCAGTGTCCCTTGTAGTACAGTTGCCAGAGCCAAAAAACTTTAAGGGCATGCTCATTCTGAAGTGTACAAACTCACCTGTATTTCTATACTTGGCATACTTTAGCAGGGATAACAGGATAATATTTCAGAGACCACTATGTGTTCCAGCTCTTGAATGGAACAAATTTTTCAGTTGAATTTGCAGTAGTAAATGATGGGAAAGCAGCTTCAGCTTCAAAATTTACTGGAAAAGCTTTCTTGCATGTATTTCCATAGAAGGAGCTTGGCTTTCAGATGCGAGTACTGTAGTCTGTCTTCACTAATTCTTAACACTATCTCCTGATTTATAGAAACCTTCTACCAAACCTGCCATCTATTCCTCCATCTTTGCTGTGTTGTGTAACAAAGCCCCACTATCATACTTTGAGGGACCACACAAAGACGCAACTCTGCGCTGTGCAGAACTGCATATGCTGAAGGTTACTGTGAAAACTTATGTAATATTGTTTGATACCTGTGATAAAATGCATTAATCTAACCATTGCATTTTATAATAAATGTGTACCTCTGTATGCATTAAATACAATCACTTTGACCCTCAAAAATAGGAATCACTTTTATTAAACCATCACAAGGAATTAAACACTCATTACAGAGCACTTCAGAATAATCTACTAGGCAATGAATATTTGGTTAGCAGAAGCTCAGCCCATGGAAAAGGGGTTCATTCAATAAACATTGTATTGCATGATGTATATAACTTCTCATGTTCCTTTAGGCTGGGCACCAATTCAAAGATCTTCCTGTAGGGCTAGGGTAAAGATAATGGGCTTTAAGTGACTAGGCTCTTTGTAGGTTCTCATTGTTGACACTTTTGCACAAAATTGCCACCCAGTCAGATCTAGAAGCTTAATTTTGATACTTGCATAGAAGTGTACAGCCAAAGCTTTGGAAATGTGTACATATGTAGTGTTGTCTTCCATGGTTTTCATTGTGCAGCTATGCATCTGCCTTTGGGTGCAAAGTATCAACTGGCCCATGGAGCTCCCTACAGATCTGAAAACGCAGCAGCATGTTAAGTAGTGGCAGTGTTAATAACCATTAATCCCAGAGCTTCTGAAATTACTTGCCCTGCTGCCAAATTTTTACCCTTACTTGCCACTTGCCCTGCGTTGAATTACCAGGTCCATAGTGTGTTCTGTGGGTTGGATCCAAATTATGGAGCTGCATCATCTGCCTGTAGTGCAAGCTGTTGCTACTGCTGCCAGCCCTGTGGCCCAGGTGACATGCCCTGCACTCCAGATCCATCCCACAGGGCCAAATAAGTTAGACAACAGAACTGTAGTGCTATTGGACTTGTCCAATTTCTGTGCGCTCCAGTGTAGCCACTGTGGTTTTCTTCATATGTCTCCTCTGGCTGCTAGTTTGCCATTTGAGTTCCACAGTTTTAGCCAAGCACTGAGCTTGTAGCTTGAGAACAGATCTTTCAGCCCCATACTTCTAAGGTTTTTAAAAGGAAAAATCTGAGCATCTCAAGTCATGGTCATCTCAACCAATTAAAGCCATGAAAAGTGAGAGAGGGAGCAAATGAAGTTAAGTATCTTTGTTTCCGTAGCTGCATGGTCTGCGGCCTGATATAAAAGTTTGCTTCCACAAGACCTAATTTGCAGTAGAGCTATGTAACAAGTATGCAAATCAAAGCACATTTAGAGACACTTGTAAAAGCTATATGGTGGCTTATTGTAGCACCTGCGTAATACTAAAAACCCAAAGTTCTTGATCTGTCCAGATTGTCATCTTTGCGAATTGGCTTGCCTTCATGGTGGTTAGCAGAACAACTGACAATTTATAGAGCTGGGGACTTTGAGCAATAATGCAATAATTTTGAAAGTCCTCCAGTGTAATTTCTGCAGCTAATGGTAGTCTTTGGAAGTTGCCAGAGTGGGTGATTTGATCCTTCTACTGCAGACTAGCTAACCTAGAAGTGGCTGGAGACATCTGCTAAGTAGCATTTAGGGAAGGCCAATCTGCAGCTCGAGTGACACAGACAGCCTCTGTGCATGGTATATGGCAGATCAGGGAGAGGGGCAGGCATCACAATGGCAGATGGGGCATGGAGCAGAAAGAGCATCAAGCTAAGGTCATCTGCCCTGCAGATTAGCTTTCTGCCCCCCATGGGAAAAGTAGGACCCCAGGGAAAGATAAAGTTCTGCAGTGGTAAGACCCCCTACCACTCCCCACCCCCACAAGTCCCTTGTAGCTCATATGAAAGCCCAGCCTGGAGTCCCTCTTCCCTTGTGCGCTTCAGTTTGATCTTTCTCTGCATAGGCTTCCTTGGAGACTGAGAACTTGCTTCTGTCGGTTAAAATGGAGGAGATCCTATGCAAGTAAAAGCCTACTTTTACTACTGAGCCCTCTGTGGTGGTGACACTCTATGGATGAAGAATTGCTGTTCTTTAATTTGTTTGAAGGTTGTGGTGGTAACGCTGCCATTTCTAGGGACCCTACTCCCTGTTCATGCCTAATGGGAATTCCCATAGCAATAATCCTCAGCCATCAATCAGTCCCTTCATCCCTAGGCATTAAAATCAGGGTAAAATTTCACTGTGCTTTGGGAAGGCTTTGAGGTGAACCCAGAGGAAATCTTCCATAGTGAAGATTTGGGACTAAACCCATTTAAAGGCCCACTCTGTAGGTGGTGTAAACAGTCATAGCTCTGTTGGCTTTAATGGCCCCTTGCTGATTCATGCCAGCTGTGGATCAAGCCCCATCTTCTCAGAAGAGAAGCTGCTGCCACTAGAAATCAAACTACCCATATTTGTATTAGCAACTAGTTCACCAGTATCAAGGGGTTGGGTAAGCTAGATAACATCCCACAACACTGGGGGAGTTCTGAATTCTGCAGTCTCTCAATAGCACTTGCCTCTACAACTGGCTGTGGGGACAATACTCTGGTTAGTCAGGGTAGAGAGAGAAGGTCTGGGCCCCCAGGGGCGAGTCCAGCTTTTGCAGATCACAGAAAACCAAAATAATGGCAACCCAGCTCAGAAAGGAAGCACATAGCTCAGAGGAAAATGGGACAGTAGAGGAAAACAGGAGCTGTCATAGGAACTTCCGTGCCAGTCTTGAAATCATTCATTCCCACCCTAGGAGCTATGGCCAATGCTTACCAGAATGGGCTGCATTCTTTGGCTGGGATTTGCCAAAGTTTTTAAGGGAAGTGGCTGCCCAAACTCCACAGCAGTGAGGCACCTGTTTCTATTCAGCTAGCGAGAAATCCCTAGATCTTCACTGAGGTCTCTCAGTAAATTGTATTTTGTCTATTAAAGCTGTCCCCTGGGCAGCTCCCACTGAGGACAGAGAAAGATCTTGGGTGCTCAGTACTTTAGGAGACAAAGGGAAGTTGGAAGCTTGGATAGAGGCTCAGGTATCTCACTGCACATTCATTCTCCAAGCCTTGGCCCTTCTAGTAGGCATCTTATACAGGTAGCCAACTTGCAGCACAAGTGGTATGGGCAACCTGTGTGTGTGTGTGGCACACAGCAGACTGGGGAGGGGACAGACAGCACAGTTGGTCAGGGTAGATAGGTCAGGGAAATGATAGCAGGGAGCAGAGCAGCAGATAGGGCAGGAGAAGGGGGTTGCAATGGCACTCAAGGAGGGCCTGGGCTTCATTTGTAGCACACCTGCCCAAAAGGTTGCCCCCCCCCCACTGTTTTAAGATACATGGGCGACTGGTGGCACCTTAGTCAGGGGGGGCATGTGCCCCGCAGTGACCAGTCAGCGACCAGTGCGGGGAGCCCTTCTGCAGCCAATCTTGCCGACCAGGGGCGGGTTCCCCCATGGCCGCGGCACTCTCAGAAGTGGCTGCGGCACTCCCACTCCCTGGCTGGCACTCGCAGGGGGGCACCAGCACTCCTGCCTGCCCCCCTACCCATCGCCTAAGTGGGGAGCATCGCCTGTTGGGGGGGTGCACTGGCACCCCCATGCACCCTCTACGCGTCGCCACTGCTAAGACACCTGAGCTGAACTCCCTACCTGGGCAGTGCCTGTCTTTCCAGGAACTGCACTGCCTGGGACAGATCTAGAGATGCATTTTGGCACAGGATAGGTTGAGGATAGCTGGGTGGGTGAATCTACAGTGATCCCTTCATTTGGATACAAGCATGAAGGGCCATAGGAGAGTTTGGGTTTCATCCTTGTAAAAAGATACAGAAAAAGGTAAAAAAATTCTAGCAGCAATCATTATATTATAAAGCCCTGCGTAATCAACCAAAGGGTTTCTGATTGGTGGCTCAGCTAAGGATCTGCCTTTACTCAAACCAAAAGGAAGTTACTGTAAACATCATATAGGCTAAGCGAGCAGCTTTCCTAATGTCACTTCACCAGAAGGTGGCCTCAGTTCCTCAAGTGCACCAGTACATGCCTCACTGCAGACCCATGAGTGATCCCACTGACTTACATGCTTCCGTAAGTGCCTTGCTGAATCTGGGACTTACAAGAGAGACTGAAGCAGCCAACGGGAAGGGCATATCTATTCCGTTTTCCTCTTCCTGACAATCCTACCACATTTCTTACAGCAAAATAAGCAGCACTTGACAGCGATGAAAAGAGTCACTGTGGCGCAGGTGAGCAAGAACGCCAGGACATCCAGGCAGTGGTACTGGTACCAAGTGAGCTGGTGAGCTGCTGGTCTCAAGTGCTTTGCTCCTTTGTGTCTCATAACAAATTCAATCCAGAAGACAGCTCGGTCCAGAGGTTTCACAAGCTGGTCATGGTGAATCTGTGACAACCGTATGGCATTTTCCTTATAGCTGAAAGAATGGGAGCAAACAGCGTTGTGGTTAATTCTGAAACAGCCTTTCCTCCCCTGAGCACAGATATGTGGGCAGACTGGCCAGGTTTCTCAGTTCTGAACATACGAGCTAGCCCCAAGATGTTATTTTTGCCAGATTAACCCAGCTTCTTCAGCTGTTCTGGCAGCAAGTTTTGAGAATCCAGCTGGATCTATTATATTATTCACAAGGGAATATTACATCTGAGAAGACCCTCTGCAGGGTTTCCTTCATGATTTTGGTGTTTCTTAGTCTGAGACAGACAGATGTTCCCCCATTTGAGTCATTAAGGGCAGGGAGAGCAAGCTGCATGGATCCTGACTGAGTAGGAAGCCGAGACAACCTGTCACAGGCTGACTAACCCAGGAGTTTGCCCATACAACAGACCAATAGGAAAGTGACTAGAAGTAACTCTACTCTAACTGGGCATGTCTACACATGTACATGCGCCTAAAATTAATGCACCTTTGCTTAAGGTGCATTAAGGGAATTAGCTGTGCGTCTACAAACGAATGTGCTAATGCAGATTCAGGGACTTTAAATTTAGTCATGAATAGCTGAGTTACATTAGCACACGTGCAGACGCACTAATGTGCATTAGCATGGTGTGTACCCATTAACGTACACCATGTTAATGCGCATTAGCATATCTACACATGTGCTAGTGCAACTTAGCTATTCATGCCTAAATTTAATACTTGCTTTATGCAGGTATCAGATTTAGACTCACATAGTCTTAAATGGCCATTTTTAAGGCACATTAAGGGTGCGCACGTGTAGACACATGCCCTTAATGCACCTTAAAAATGGCAATTTTAGGCTAAGCCCACTTAAAAGAGGCACATGTAGATGCACCCACCCAGCCCAAAAAGGAAGCAGAAAACACTGCTGCTCTAGGACCTGTTCATGGGTGCCTTTCTCCAAAAAGGAGAGATGGTAGGTGGTCCAAAGATACTGAGATGGAATACAGGTGCCTTGTTTTGTTGGTGCAATACAGGTATTGGAAAGCTGGTGGGTCCCAGCGTTCAGTACTTTGGATGAGAGATCTCCTGGGGTGCAGACAGGCATATACATTTGAAACATTTCAAACAGCTTCGAAAACAATTTGAAACATTTCCAAACAGCTAGCATATAGATGTACAGTTGGGAAAAAATGCTTCCAGGCAGGACAAAAATGTACTTGGAGGGAACAGTTCCAATTTTGTACCATTTAGCTCCCACCTTATATCTGTACATGTAGGTTGATTTTCCAGCATTCCCCACCGCAATATTCTCTTCCCCATGCCCATTCTCCCCACACCCTCATGGTTGCAGCCTTTCCCTTCCCTTTCCCCTCCACTACTGCTAGCACA